TGGTAATATTTCGACATAAAAAGACGTTAAACTCCCCTACAAAAAATTACTCTATAAATATGAAAACTATCTCTTTTTCTTTTCACATGAAGGTATTCGACAAGTCATAGTTGTAAATTCATGTGAAAGACAGAAAGATGGATATTGCAATAGCTCAATAATAGAAATTATTTTAGTCCCAATATATTCAACAAACTCTCTTCATTATAATTTTGAAAAGATGTTATACATCTTTAGTTCGGATTCAATGAATAGAATCAATATTATTTAGCAAAAACAAAAAAAATTGAATCAATATTTACAAAATAACCGTGATATTTTCATTATGAGCTTCAAACATTTACTAACTCTAACCACTGTCCTATTAGTCACGTGGGCCATTGTACTCGACCCAAACGTTGTTGACTAATCATAACATCTGCATGGTGTTATATATTATAAGGAACATCTTTGTAAAATTTTATTCTCCTTTTTTTTTTTACTTGTTCTCTTAAATAAAAATATTTGGTTTCAGAGATGCTTATTTCTTTAATTCTCAACGATGTTACGTTCTATGTGAAAACTGACGTAGGAAATAACATGAAGGTATATTACAGAATTTCGTAGGGTTTTATTTTCTTATTTTTGATTCTGTATGTTTTTGTTATTTAAAGTAATAAATCCAAGTAAATAGAAACAAAACTGAAAGGAAAGCTTTCTTTCACCAAGGATAAAAAATAAATAATGCGAAGGTTGAAGTTAGAAGTATGAAACAAAGAGGGTAAGAAGAGTTTTTAGGCACATGTGTGTCTGTGTTGTCTCCTATACTATTTCAAATAAAATGATATTATATTTCTTATTTTGATACGACTAAAATAATTGAAATTATTAGTTTAAAATAGTAACACATTAAAGATTTGAATGGTTGTAATATATATACGTACGTAAGAGACTAATCCATTTACGAGCAAAATCTTTTTATTCACCATTCATGTATTTAATTATGTAGTTGTAACTTGTAAGTGCCAATACAAAACAATCCAAACTCTAAACTAAAAGCATTGAAATATCAGTTACAATAGAGAGCTAACGACGGTAGTTAATTCCATAATATTCAATTTAAAATTATCTTACCAATAAAAAAAACCGTGTCTAATTATCAAAGTAGAAACGTACGTTCAAC